CCATCATTGTTGTACTCCACACTGAGCACGTTTAACTTCGGAGTTCTCACATGAATCCCTCCATTTCACCCAAAAACGCGTCTTGTTAGTTAAGGTCGGTTTCCTACTTATGAACCATGGATCTCTCCCGTGCTTTTTCGATGTGGGATTTGCCTAAGGTGTTACAAATATCCTTTCCATCAGTTACTCACCATAAAAAATATATGGTGAAAATGTGGGTACTACCCACCCAAAATTATGGAACTGGTACATAAGAGGATGAATTTACAGTTTGGTTGCCATCAATTACATTTTAACACTTTTTCTTTTAATTACCGTTCCTTCCATTGACAAATTACAATAGACTCCTTATATTTTGTGCGTATACTATAGAATATTTTTGTTGGTGGAGTTTTGAGTAGGTATGAGGCGGGGGTCCAAAACCATACCTGCCCCATACCCATCAAGTTTTTTGCGGGTTTTACCCATACCCAGTCAATACAGCGATTCCACGCGTTGACTGGGTCGTAGACGGTCTACCCGCGACCATGGGTTGGCTGCCATCCCTACCCTCTATCCCTTCCCCAATCTAATGGTCTAGATTATTTTGCAACAAAAAAAAGGGATAGACTGGTAATTTCGCCCATACCTTTTTTTTGTTTGGCTTGACATGGATCTAGGTGAGAGATAAAAGATAGTTGACCAGTCATAGACTACTTTTCCTAATCCCCCTATTTTTCTTAATTGGATCCTATAGTGTTCATTTTAACTCGAAATTTAAACAAATGCATGTAAAGAATGCATTAATTATGATCTACCCAATGACATCCATTTTGCTATATTTTGAGCGAAGAAAAAATTAACTCTTCAAAACACGTGTCAGTTGTAGTATTATCATTGTCATATCAATAATATCATGATATGATGACTCAACTACTTCATTTCAACTCAAAAAAAAAAAAAGAATTGTATAGAAAGAACACATTTATTAAGATCTAATCAGTGATATCCACTTTCTTATGTTTTGTTAAACATAAGACCACATACCGACATCATATCATGTAACCATATTGATGATATCATGATGACAGTGATATGATGTCATCGAATTATTTGTCAAGCATAAAACTTCAAACTGACATCATATCACGATCATACCAAAATCATACCAATATCATATTACTATCATATCAACATTATACCACCATGATATCGTACCAATGCCAGTGATATCTTGATATGACAGTGGTATGATTACTTGAAATTTTTTTGCTCCTAAAAATATCAAAATTCTGTCATACCTAACATTATCACCAACAATGATGATGTCCTCTATAAAAACAAGTAGGATAGAAATACCAAAGTTGCACTGTGATGGATAAACATGGAGTTATCAACATTTGACTAAGTATAACCAAATCTAGGTAACGAAGATGTGAGTTTAAAGAACCATTGTCTGGATGCATGTTTCCGACCATAGAGACTTTCTTGAGGCGACAGACATGTCCAAAGTCATAAATACCAGGTGGTAAGTCCATGTACACTTCTTCTTCAAGGTCTCCATGGACAAACACATTACTCAAATCTAACTGAAATTGTTTCCAGTTTTTGGTTGTAGCAAGAGCTAACAAGGTTTTGACATAATTAAACTTGGCAACCGATTAATATGTGTCAAGAAAGTCAATCCCATATATTTGAGTAAAGCCTTTGGCTACAAGCCTAACTCTATATCGTTCTATAGATCCTTTGGGATGAAACTTAATAGTATAACTCATTCATTACCTATAGTCCTCTTATCAAGAGATTTCGAAACCCTCACATGTATAATTTGTTGTCAATGCCTAAAGTTCATTATTCATGGCGTTATCTCAACATTCCTGTTTTATTGCTTCTTCAAATGTAGTAGGAATCACATTTGTCTCAATTGCAAAATCATACTTCTTGTATCATGGTGACAACATGTCATATGATAGGTAAGCAACCAATGGATATTTTCACAGGTTTTACAAGTTGTCTTGGTGGTTTTCGAAGAGCAATGGGAAGAGTGGAAGGAGAGGGAGTTTGGTGTACTGCCATTGATGGTAAAGGGATTGGAGAAGGGATAGGTTGAGAAGATAACTAGGGTGAATTAGGTGAATGTAGAGTTGGTGAATAAGGAGAGTTATGCTATGGAATAGGTGTAGATTTTCTGGGGTGTTTTATGTAGTTTCATGGGTTAGTGAAAAGACATGCAATGGAGAAAAGGAGTTATGATCTAGTGTGGCAACTAGGGGTGGAAATCGGTACGGTATTGGTATACCAATACCAAATACCAAAATCCTGAATACCGAATTATACCTTAAACTCAATTCCAATCACAATTCCTAAATAATTTCGGTATCCCAATCGCTACTTCGGTATCCCAATCTGTATTATCGAATACGAAATTAATTACCTTTGTAATTAAAAATTAAATATATAAATTAGATTTTATTGTTTAATTTAGGGCAAAGAGACTAAGCAAAGAGTCTTGAGTTTGCCTAGAGTTAGGATATGGATAAGGATAATGGAGGAGATATTATATTTCAAGTTCTTGTAATTGGTAATGATTAATTTGACGAATTGGAGGTTGAGAGACGACTAATACTAGTGTTTTCTTTTTGGTGTTATGAAAATAATAAAAGATATTAGGTGAGAAACGAGAGTGACTTAAATTGGAAAGTCAAATTTGAGTTGAATGGGGACTTCTAAGTTATGAAATAGTGATGGAATGATTTATGTATAATTACATGACACTCTTGGTGGTTGAGGGTCATGTAGTAGTTAATGAGAGATTCTAGTTGAGAGGATAAAATACACACTAGTTTATATTTCGGTATTGATCGGTATTTCAGTATATACCAATCTCAATCCCGTAATCCCTAATACTGAATAACAATTGAAACTCAATCCTAATCTCAATCCCAATAAATAATACGTGTATTCAGTAATATCAAATATAGGCAAATTCGATACGGTATTCAGTATATACCAAATACCGGTACCAAACTTCCAGCCCTAGTGGCACCAGTAGAAGGAGTAACAAACTCTTTAGAAGGAGAAGACATGGTATGAAGAGACACGATGAACAAGTTTGGGATCCAAAGATCTGAATATGAGAAAGTAGACAACATCGTTGGTTTGTTCACGGGTTGCATAATTCTCATCAAGTGAATGTGGAGTTGAAACTAATCAACTAATGAAACCTACCTTGTTCTCGCTCCTAAGAGGTACTCAAATAGTTATGCTTCATGGATCGTAATTAACAGCGTTTGTCAGCTTGACAAGAAAATCCAGTCATAGATTAGGTTTATGCAGTATGGGTGTGTAAATGCGGAGGGAGCAAGTGGTAGGATTGTGGTTGAGGTAGAAGACAAGGTAGTTGCATATGTAGTTGGAGACGAGTTAATTGAAGTAGAAACCATCGTCGATTAGGTAAATGAAAGAGGAAGAATGCATGTGAGGGCGTAAAATCCTTGAAGTCTGAACTAGACTCTAATACCATAAGAAATCTGCAAGATTATCATATTTGTGAGGAAACCTGCAAGGGGCTCTTTCTGCCTCTAGGACGTATGCTGGAACGACGACGTTCTGACTAATTCAACTACTTCCTTCTTAGGAAAACGATTTGTACCAAGAGCTCGTCAATGCTAGAGACCATGATTTGACTCCCCGCATTTCGTCTTCTTCAATCTAATGTGATATTGGACTAGGTTCGATATTCATTAATGACAGCATGTGTCGATTCTTTTCTGACAAAAAAAAATGTATTTAGTTTAACTCGCTCTATAAAGAATGAGATATATTATCACGTGATTTGTACATACTTACAGTCAACCGATACAAAGTATCACGATTTTTTTAAGACAATAAGAAAATTAAATTCGAGGGTGTACCATATGACAATTGACCTCGGGCGACCATTTGGATTGCCTCAGCATTGAATTAGTTGGGTTAATTTTGGTCTGGATAGAGAGGATTCAATGCGGTCACTAGGTTTATAATTAAGTCAAATTGGAAACCGTCGTTAACATTTAAGCATGGTCAAAACAGACTGCTTTGGTATTTGCTATTGGAATTTGGATTAAACGTTGCCAAAGAAGAGTCCTCTCTCTCTCTCCAAGGGGAGGGATGAAGGCGTAGGTCATAAGAATTCATCACAAGCTCCAAAAATCGAACTCACTCAGGCACAGCATAGGCCAAGCCGCCGCCGCCGACTGCATGCCCAAATTAAGCTTATTTTTATCGCGGCCAATTAGACTTATATACTATGAAAATCTTATAAGTGTAAAATAAGAAATCGGTTTGAGATGTGGTTCTGTGACAAACGAAACTACATATACACGATGATGTCAGATACACAATTTGTTGAAATATTTTTGAAGTGTTTAACGATTTGTCTAAGCAGTAGATTGGTATTAACTTTACATATGTAGTAAGCTTAAAGAAAGTAGTAATTTGATTAGGTCCATTTAAAGAACGGTTTAGCATTAGGTGTCCTAATCTCATCCTATTTCTTTTGCGTGTCCTCAAGTGTGATACATTTTTAAAAGCATCATTCCCTTCAATTCCAGTGTTAGCTCTTTTTTTGCCCCTAAGCCCAAAATAAAGTATTTATTTATATTTGTATAGTAAATAAAGTATTTATTAAATGCGTTGGATTCTCCATATATATGGGAGAGATATATTGCTTCATTTTATATTGATATCTAATATCAATATATCAAATTCAAACACACTCGAAGTTTATTGAAAGTATTAAGAAAATAAAAATACAAACACTCCTTAATTAATTACTAATTTCCTAATTAATATCGGAATCGGGATTGGTCTTTTTTGCTTTATATCCTTTCAGACTTCCTCTCCTTTCGTCTTCCTACTGTTAAGGCAGTAGCAAAGTAAAGTAAAGTAAGCCGTAACCCCTTCCATTAAATTCCAGTTCAATCAAAATTCCAATTCCAGACCCCAAATAAAAATAAAAAAGGAGAAATTTCCTCTCGATCATGAAGGCTCCTCCTCGCCTTCTTCCCCTTCTACTTCCCGTCCCCGCCGCCAGCTCCCGCCTCTTCGAAACCACCACGCGCGGCCGCTGCGCCTTCCTCCTCCTCTGCCTCTTCCTCTTCGTCTCGCTCTCCATCTTCCTCTCCCTCTCCCCAAACCAGCTCCTCCTCCGCTCCTTCGACTACTCCCCCGCCGCCGCTGCTCCCACCGTCGTCGCCGCTCGCCCCAACCTCTCCGCTTTCCCTTCCAACAGCGCCGTCCGCGAATCCACCGGCCACCTCAATAAATCTTCGGTCCCGGAGGCTCGAGAGGATTTGGAATCTGTCTCCATTTTGTTCCCCGACTGGGAGGTGGTCGTGATTGGACCGGCGGGAATTTCAGGGGAGGAGGAGGAATCGGGATTTCTGTGCGTTTATCCGAACAAGGCTACTTCCCCGGCGAGGTTCTCGGGAAACTTGCGGGCCACGAATCAGTCGATTTTCACGTGCTGGATGCCGGAGAAGTGCCGCCGGCGTCTGCAATCGCCGGTGCTCGTCCGGAGGAAGAGTCCAGCAGAAGGGGGAAAAGAAGAAAAATTGTCTTCTTCTTTTGCTACCAGGAAGACGACGAAATCGCTGCTGAGGTGGACATTTCTGGCGTACGAGTCTTTGTCGACAGAGAGCGACGTCGTTTTGTTCGTCAAAGGCGTAAACAACAAGCAAGGAGTCAATCGTCCAGCTCACGAGCTCAAGTGCGTGTTCGGCAATCCCGATGATTCCGCGGTGAAAACCACCGCCGTGACGAGCTCCGAGCAGGAGGTTTTCCGGTGCGGTCACCCTGATTTGACGGGGTATGGTCAAAACGTGACGGTGGGCGTCAGAGTCACGCTGGAGCTCCCCGACGGAGTTCGTGTCCCTTCGGTGGCGCACTACTCCCCCTGGCGGCGGAGCAGTGTCGTGGTGGGGGAAGCGAAGCTGCAAATCTGCGCGGCGACGATGGTGTACAACGCCGCCAAGTTCCTCAAGGAGTGGGTGATTTACCACTCCGGGATCGGCGTCGAGAAATTCTTCCTCTACGACAACGGAAGCGACGACGGATTGGGAATCGTCGTCGGGGAGCTGAATCGGGAAGGCTATAGAGTCGAGACGGTGCCGTGGATTTGGGCGAAGACGCAGGAGGCCGGATTCTCCCACGCCGCGGTCTACGCTCGCGAATCCTGCGATTGGATGATGTACATCGACGTCGACGAGTTCCTCTTCTCCCCGCGGTGGAGCTCCGCCGCTCAGCCGTCGGATCGCATGCTCAAATCCCTAATTCCGCGGAAGAAATCAGCGGGCCGGGTCGTCGGGCAGGTCACGATTCGGTGCAACGAGTTCGGGCCTTCGGGTCGGGTCACCCACCCGCCCGACGGGGTGACCCAAGGGTACGACTGCCGGAGGAAATTGGACAACCGGCACAAGTCGATCGTACTGCTGGAAGCGATCGACGATTCGCTGCTCAACGCTGTGCATCACTTCCGATTGCGCGGCGGCGGGGGAGGAGAAGGGGGGAAGTTGTTTAGGACGAAGCAGGTGGGAATGGGGGCGGCGGTGGTGAACCATTACAAGTACCAGGCGTGGTCGGAGTTCAGGGCGAAGTTCCGGCGGAGGGTGTCGGCGTACGTGGTCGATTGGAGGAGGGCGGTGAATCCGGCGTCCAAGGATCGGGCCCCCGGACTGGGGTTCGAGCCGGTGAAGCCGGGGGATTGGGAGCGGCGTTTCTGCGAGGTGAGGGACGATCGGCTGAAATCGCTGGTGCGGCGGTGGTACGGCGGCCTCACTGCAGAAGGAGGAGGAGGGTATAGAATGGCGTGGCAGAGGTGAAACTAAAAGAAAAGGACTCCATTGGCCGGGAGTTAATTTGTGAAGGACTAGAAAGTAATTAGGTGAAAAGGGTTTGGCGGGGAGTAATTTGTAAAAAACAAAAACAAAAACTGATTTTGGCCATGGGCTGATATTTAGTTAAGTTTAGCAGACTGAGCTAACCTCAATTACTCATATACTATAACTATTTACATTACAGCGTTGTAGTTCCTATTGATGGTAGTGAATATAGAGAAATTTTACAATGCTATATAGTATTGGTGCTATAGGGTTTTGCTTTTATGGTACAACTTAAAATTGTACATTTACGTTATGGTACAACTTCAAATTGTATCTATACTTTTTGTACAAATACTTTTATGGTACAACTTGAACTTGTACCTTTATTTGATGGTACAACTTCAACTTGTAAAGTTGTACCATAAGATAATGGTACAAATTGTTTTATGGTACAACCTAAACTTATACATTTAATGTTATGGTACAACTTCAAATTGTACATTAAAGCACCAATACTATATAGCATAGTAGAAGTGCTCAGTGAATATATTGTTTCCCTTGCATGAGGAAGGAGGAGGAGGAGTTACCAGTAATCGAATCCAAGGGCAGTTGATCAATGATCGTAAGTTTGATTGTCATATCGTTGCGATATTGTCAAGTATTGATAAACATATGGTTTTCCATTATTGAACTCATAGATAGCATTATCCTCATTTTCAGTTTAGATTTTAGTTTAATGTTACAAACTAGGAGGCGATGCCGCGCCTTACCGCGGGGCGGGGATGGTCTATGTGCATATATTATGTGGTCCGTTATAGTGTTTTGTTAGTGTTATTAGTCTAAAATTAATTTTTTGTTAGCAGTTTTGTTAGTAATATTTACTTGACAATATGATATTGACTGAGAAGAGATATATGGCGGTCAACATCCCATTAAATTTTTTTTTTAATTTTTTTGGCTAATACATGATATTTACCTAAACCCAAGTAGACCAATTGATTATGGGTAGGGTATGAGTGACGTATATATGAGTTTGGAAGTTTGTAGATGGGTTTGGTAGGGTATGATATTTACTTTTATAATCTAAATGTGTATGAGTGGGTAGGGATACCCATTTATTCGAGTGTGTTTTAATTACACATACAAAAATTAGACCTATTTGTAGAACTTCAAAAGTTTAGGTACTAAAATGTAATACACGAAAATTTTAGGTACTAAAATGTGTTGTTCCATCAATATTTTGAGGACATATATGCAAAACTAATAAATTTAGGTTATAAACCTAATTATTTATTAAGTTTAGGTACCAAACTATAATTTACATAGTTGAGGCTTGATTCCTTTTATGGTGATGTATTTAAGATGATAATTGTTTACTTTTTGATAGAAAATAGGAAACTATTTATTTTATATGTATAATTGTTGAAAATTTCATTTATAATGTTTGAAAATTCTAGCCCGGGTATAAAGAAAATTCTAGAGACAATCAAAAGGAATACAAACTGGAATTCGCTTAAAATTTCACGCCTTCAAATCCCGTAGTGGAAATGACTACTTTCTAATATGTAATGACCATATATGTTTATTTTTAATTGGACTCGACATTGAGCTAAAAAAGTTAGTGGTTCATGGTTTAAATATTAATTCTCTATATTGTTGGTCAGTGTGTATGGACTCGTTCATACTTGTGATTAGAATACATATAAATAGTATACTAATTTGGGTTAGACGATGAAGGCAAAGAAAGAAATAAAGAAAGGGTTATGGACAGCGAGTGAAAAATGAAATTAAATGAGGAGGAAGTAGATAATGAAAGGGTCTTGACCAATTTTTTTAGTTGGGGTATCATATCAAAATGTAAAATGTACATTATAGTGACTAAGGTTTAATTTAATTAAATTTGGGTTTGAGGTATCAAAATGTAAAATGTACATTATAGTGACTAAATTGTGATTTAATTAAATTTGGGGTATCAATTGTAAGTTAATTAAATTTAAGTTTGAGGTATCAAAATGTAAAATCTACATTATGGTGACTAAGCTGTGATTTAATTAAATTTGGGATATCAAATTGTAATATTTTATGCAATTATTACCTTCAATTTAGTTTCAGCCCAATAATTACTCATTTCCAGACTAACAATGTCCATTTTCCTATTTAGTTCATTCCCAACCGTTGTTTAGGCAACAGTAACCCAGCATCAGGTTTATATATATAAATATTAGCAATGTCTTGTTGTCGGAGTTGGGACTCACTTACAACAATAGAAGCAAATGTATCAACTAATAAAAGGATTTTGTTTGAAAACAGGGAGATAAGTTTTTCTCTGATATTTTAAAGTGAAATGCCAAACTATTGTTTATAGTGCTTTGTTGCCTGTTGGGCCAACATACGCGCACTTATACATTGTAGTAGACATAAAGAACATATAAAAGAATTATCGTGACCTCATATATTGTGTACCATTTTCATGTTAGCATTTGTTGAAGTTCATGCAATGATTTGTTTTCATTAGAAAAAAATGGTTTTATTTATCTGCCCATTTTCCACCTAAAAGAAAAATTAAATGAATATGAACAACTTGTGTGGTGTTTGTTTTGATGAAAACACTATAAACTGAAAGATCAAAGAAGTAGCTTCCTTCTAAATAAAAAAAAAAAAAAAATGATAAGAGAAGAAGAGGTGTGATTGCACTGGACTATGTTTATGGTTGGTTATTGGTAGAAACAGAAGTTGGACATTACGTGGTTGTCCTAAACCCTTATGTCAAAAATGGATTAATTAGCATTGTTCTAAGATGTTGGAGAGGGGAAAAAAAGACATTAAACAAAGACAAATATAGTTTTAAAAAGTACTAATACCACTAGAAAATCCGAACTATTAACTTTGTGTTATTTGTGTCCTAAAATATTCGATATGACATTTGTGTCCTAAACTATTTTTCCGTTAGAGTTGAGCATTGACTGTTAGTTTTTAACAGAAAGTCTAGTCAGCGCTTATGTGGCATCTGACGTGGAACTTTTATTATTAATTTATAATTATTTTTCATATAAAAAAGAAAATTACAAAATTACATAAATAAAAAACAAAAACAGGTATGATTTGTGGATTATTTTTGGGACACAATTAATCGTTCTCTTCCTCGATTAATCGTTCTCTTCTTCAATCCCAAGCTGGATTAACCCACATCTTCCTCCGCGCGACAAGAAGCTCGATTCCGGCGGCGTGCTGCTCCTTGATATGGACGAGCTTGTCGAGGCGGAACTGCGAGGAAGCGAATTCGCGGCTGAGAATCACGACGGAGAAGCTCGAATCTTCGATCGCGCACCGAATCGCGTCCCTCATGTTCACCCCTTTGGGCAGATCTCCGCCGCCCATCATCGCTGTCAGTCCGGCTTCCCGTAGTCCCGCGCACAGGTGATCCGGGAACCCGCTCCTCATCTCCCTGCAGCATCAAATGAACACGACGCCGCCGGCTGCCATTTCTTAGAGTGTTGGCAAAATCGCAATTAGGGAGAGAGAAAGAGAATTGACGCCACGAGACTGTGTTTTCACGCAGTCTCTCTCCTTAAATCGTAAGGGGGGGGGATAATAGGGACGTGTCCAGGGGAAATCTTGATCTTGTGAAGGCAGGGGAAATCGATTGAATTGATATTACCAAGGGAACGAGAGAGGAAAGAGAGGCAGGGGAATTGATTCTGGGTGGATTCTGGGTGGACGGATTCCAAGAGACGACGAGTAGAGGGCGAGGCTTTTCTTCCTCCTCTGCATCCGTCGGCTTCTTCACAGGGCATCCTGTCCAGGCGCCGAGTGGGTTGGGGGGTTCAGTTCATTAAAGGGGAAGAAAAAGAAGAAGAAAGGGAACCCCCTTAAAATGGAAACCCGACACCAAATCTACATCATACTCACATTCCCGCGGAGCGTATCTAAGAGCCGCCTCCTCGCAATCTAGGGTTTCGAAATCAGGCTAGATCCGGTAGGAAAACGAAACAAGAAAGCGGAAAATGGAAGGGGCAAATTGACGGGATGGAGAGATGAGGATATGTGGCTGAAAATAATTTTAATTGTTAATTTCAATTGTTAAAATTTTTATTTTGTATTTTGTATTTTGTATTTTAATTGTTAATTTTAATTTGAAAATAACAACCTGATGTTGCAGCTGACGTGGTGCATACGTGGCTGCCACATATGTGCCATGTAATCAACAGTCAAGAGGTGTTGGCCGTGGATTAAAGGGGAAGTTGTCAACGTCTTTAATGAGTTATTTCACAGTGGTAAGCTGCCCAAGAGTGCCACACACTCTTTCATTTGCTTGCTGCCCAAAAAGGATGCGGTGAAAGAGATTAAGGATCTGCGTCTGATTAGTCTTATGGGAAGTATTAACAAGCTTATCAGTAAGGTTCTTGCTCGCAGACTCGGTGCAGTGCTCCCTAGGTTGGTTTCTCTTAATCAGTTTGCTTCCGTTAGAGGGAGGCAAATTGCCGAAGCAGGTCTTGTGGCATTTGAGTTGGTGGACAACCGGCGTAAAAGCAGAAAACCAGGCCTGATGTTTAAGCTAGACATTGAGAAGGCGTTTGAAAACGTCAGTTGGGATTTCTTGTTTAGAGTTTGTCATAGTTTGGGTTTTGGGTTTCTCGGCGAGATGGCAACAGTGGATTCGAGGAGTGATGTGTTCTCCGATGATATCGATTTTGATCAATGGGGAAGCCAAAGGCTATTTTGAGGCGCAGAAAGGGCTTCGGCAGAGGGACCCGTTATCGCCAGGGCTGTTTGTCTTAGTTATGGATGTGCTTTCCTTTATGATTAGCAAGCTTAAGGGGGATGGAAGGATCAGTGGCTTTTGCATGGATGAGAGGAATGGGCTTGGAGAGGTTACACACCTGCTCTTCGCTGACGATACTCTGATTTTCTGTGATGCCTCGTGTGATCAGGTTCTTAATGTAATGGCGACTCTGGCGTGCTTCCAAGCGGTCACAGGATTGAAGATTAACTTGGAAAAG